ATTCTACGCCACACCCCCAGCCACTGATAATTCTCCACCCTTGGGGTAGGTTTCCAAGTGATACTCTTAAATAGTTGCTTAACCCTGAACAAAACCTGAACCACATGCAGGAACACACTAGCTCCTAACAGCACAACAATGCTTATGTCAATATTCCAAAGATATCTGAACTCTCCAAATTTCTCAAACACAACTGTAAATAGCCCCAGGGCCAATGACTGCATGCTATCATAGATGAGCATTACATAGTACAATAGGAACAAAATTTAACATAACTCTCATGGAAAGTGGGCAACAGCATAGGAAACATGTATGGCAAATGAGGTGATAAGATCTTAAGGAGCCAAGAAATCCACATTTTACCCATTTTGTTGTTATCTCAAAAAAAATCCCTCAGTGCCCCATGTTGGGTGCCAAAAACTCTTGAGGTTTGAACTCAGGTGGCAGCCAGATGCCACAGGGCTGGCTGTTCACCTGCCCCCTCCCCAGTGAAATAGGGGAGGGACAAAAAGAAGAGAATTCATAGGTTGAATGAAAAGAAAGAATTCACCAAATATAACAAGAGAACAACAGTAACAATAGTGAGTCCAGAAAGAAATGGGTAAAATGTATCATAGCAGTGGCTTACCGAGCATGGCAACTGCCCCCACAGCAACACGTGACTGGACCGGAACCTGAAAAAAGACATGCCCGAGAGAGCCCACCCACCTGTATCCCTGGGCACGACATCACATGGTATGAAATACTCCAGTGAACGTTAACTCCATCCTGGTCGAAACCAGGACACTCTGGATGGCACATTCCTTCCCTTCAGCCTGTGGACCGCACCACACAGCTCAGTGTCATCGCCAAACTTGCAGAGGGTGCACGCGATCCCACTGTCGGTGTCGCCAACAAAGATGTTACACAGTGCCAGTTCCAACCCCGACCCCTGAGGAACATCACTTGTCACTGCTCTCCACTGGGACATCGAGCTGTTGACCACAACTCTTTGAGTGTGACCATCCAGCCAATTTCTTATCCACCGAGGGGTCCATCTGTCAAATCCATCCTCTCCAAGGATGTGTGGGACAGTGTCAAATGCTTTGTACAAGTCCAGGTAGATGACGTCAGTCACTCTTTCCTTATGCACCAGCACTGTAACCCTGTCACAGGGCCACCAAATTCTTCAGGCATGATTTACCCTTTGTGAAGCCATGTTGGCTGTCACCAATCGCCTCCATATTTTCCATGTGCCCTATCAGAGTTTCCAAGAGGATCCGCTCCATGATCTTACTGGGCACAGAGGTGAGACTGACCAGCCTGTAGTTCCCTGGGTCTTCCTTTTTTAACCTTTTTAAAAATGGAATGAAAGCCTTTGACTTTTTGTGTTCCAGATAATCTTGATATGGACCTGCCTTTTGGTGAATTCTAAGCAGAACAACCCACTATATCTCACAAACATCTGATCAAATGCATATAAGATAATAGGGTCTCCTGCCTGAAAAAGTCATACCAGAGCATGTTGTTACTGACACAAATTTACCAAGGCAAGCTTTCCACAACACATTGATCCACCACTGACAAGACAGAAAACACAAATAAAAATTTTCTGCATCGCTAGGTCAGTGTGTACCATCTCTGTATAATAATTTAGATGTCACCTGACTACCAATGAGTCTTGAGTGAGGACACTAGAACTCCATCATATGATTCACAGAAATACATCTAGCAAAATCGCTAATGTAATATTTCTTTTATTACTACTAAATAAAGCTGGTCCTCTCATCAAAAAGATTTCAAAGTCTCTCTTTCTAGCCTTTAACTCTTTTTTGATGATAGGGTCATCTTTGAACAACTTTCACTTGTATGAAGTGGAAAGAACTGCTACTTGATCTTTCTGGCCCTGACAAAAAGATCAGAAAACAGGAATGACAATATAAAATTATGGTCCATTCTAGGCTCCAAACTCATTTGAAGATTCAGCCCTGGAATCAATCTCTTGATGCCTTACTTTACAGTTCATGAACTTTTTGACTCTTAGATCAGTCATAAGAACAATTTTTAATTTTTATTGCAACCTGATTTTGAGCCATTAACGATTTGGTGAGTCAAGACCAAGACAAGAACAGAAAGTATCAGGGAAAGCACCCTGAAGGCCAGTGGAGACAGCCAGCTTTGTCATAAGCTTACAAAAGCTTCTGTGGCAAGAAAGCAGTCACATTCTACATTAATGGAAACATTTACTTTCTTTTCATTTCCAGCTTCTTACACCACATTCACTTCTTTCAAGTTAAAGTCTTAGAGAAGGAAACAAAACAAAATCAATGAAAAAACCAAAGCAATATACTGTTTTAATATAATTAAAGTACTATCTTTCTTAAGCATTGTTTTTTCTTCCCCTTATATCATGTCACCCTGGGACAAAAAATTATTACAAAGAAAAAAAAATAAAAACATCTCCACATTTTTCTCACAGAAAAATGATATTATAACATGAGCACTTAATGGAATTCTCATTTGCTGAAGTTTGGAACAAAGTACAATAATGTATAACAGAAAAATACCTTTGCTTCCTTCAACTATGAAGAAACTAGCTTATCTTAATTTTAAAGAATGTTGTGAAAAATACAATTTTAGAGACCAGCTTTAAAGAACGATGCTTGTTTCCATATATGTGACACTACCAATACATTCCTTTATTTAGGAATAAATTTGATATCTGCCTAACATGCATCAAAAAAAAGTGTGGCTACAAGAATCTGTCTTGACTAAAACATGACTGACTTAGTAAGTTAACCTCCATATTAGACAAAAGTACAGATATTTTGGTGGCAAAAGAAAGATATCCTGTCCTTTTATAAAGAAGTAATCTACTTCTGGAATTAAAACAATATTTAAAAAACTACACAGCATAAGCTTTGTTCACACGTTTTTAATAAAGACATCTTTTGTCTACTGAGGAAACACCCCACTTCATGTAGGTATTGCAAAACAGATGATAAAATTATCACTTTATTGTGGATTTCCTTGCTGGTTTCCTTTTCTACAACTTCCAGACTTAGGTTTTGGATATAAAAATAAAAATCGTATAGGAGGGGTTTTTGGGTTCGGGTTTCGTTTCCTGTTTGTTTGTGGGATTTTTTTGTTGTTTTAATAGCAGTAAAAGGCTGACCCGATCAAATCAGAGCTGTAAAATGCATTCTGGAGCCCCAAGGCCTTCCTAAAATAGCAGTGGCTTCCTGTGTGACCACAGAGAGAACCCTTCTGTCCCTTGCATGGCGTGTGTCCTGCGGAAATCCACAGGCAATGAAGACTGAAACAGCTCAGTGGGAAGGCAAGTCAGTCTGCTACAACTGTCGCAGTGTAATAACTACAGCAGCACCTCACATCTGGTGCAGAACTAGGGTGAATGTACTTATTTCTGTGCTTGCTCCTTGAGGTCTGGTACTTTTTTCCCCCCTCACAGTGCAACTACGCCACAATTCAGGTGACAGGACCTCTGTCAACACGGCATTTGCTTGGGAAGGATCTGTTCCTTATGTTGGTCCAGCTCATGCAGAATGTGGCCGAGTCACAGACCAATCTTAGATTCCTTGTCTTTAAGCAGGGAATATCTAAACCAGCTATGACACCTAGCATGATTAGTATGACAGCATGATCAAAGGTAACTGTCCCACATCAACCGCGTGTATTCACAGAGCAGTAACATGCCACTTCCCACTGCCTCACCTAACTCACTTTCCTGTCACTGTCAGGCTGCTCTCTCCCACAGACTGTGACCATGATAACAGAGTCTCTCCTACAGAAACAAAGGAGCAAATTGAACTTTGCAAACCCTAGGATGACATATTGAGTAGGTCCTGCCCAATTCCATAACTGAACTAATCTTTAGTCCATCATCTTTGAACCTCGTCTTAATCCAAATAAAAGAAGTGCAGTACAAGTTTGCTTTAGACTGCTCTCCTACATCATCAGAACAGATACATTCCAATCTTTGTACTGACAGAACACTTATCAGCTTTATCATGTTGCCACTGTGAAGGCAAATTGGATACGTATCACAGGAAAGGAAAGTGTGTCTGCTGGCTGAGAATTATATGGTATGGCTTTAGGATGATGTCAAAGTTATCACCCCTGAACTCAAATCTGTTAATTTTCCAGATTTTTATTTGAAAGTTTTTAGAGAAAGGTCGCAGGTACATTCTTAGGCTAGGAAGGAAAAAAGAAGCATGTCTTGCAAGAAACTAGCTGGTTGAATTCCTGTCTGATTGATAGAATGTTTTTGTGCTGCAAGGGTGATCTTGCAATATTAATTGTTAAGGTGCCTAGAGCCCTTGTATATGAATCTTTTTATTATTTAAATATTGAAATAAATAAATCATCTCACTTAAGCAACCAGCAATTCAAATTTGTTAGAATTCTTTCATTAATTTTGATGGTGCTGAACCCCAGATCTGTTAAAAGACTCCAGAAGAATAAGTCAGTCATAATCTTTTGTAACTTCTAAATGTAAATACCTCAGCTGTAAGAAATCAAAAGTTATCTAAATTTCTTTCATTCATTGGGTTTTTAAATAACTAATGGTGTCTTAAATGCTTCACGGCAGAAGTCAGCACTTGGGCTTGGCTAAATAATAATTCAGAATTACAAGAACGTGTATGTCAGTATACTAAGCTTCCACCCCAGAGGAGGTATTTCACAGAGACTTAGAAAAAAAAAGCAAAAAAGAGCAGCACAATTTCAAATATAATTACTGACACAGTCTTAACAGTAATGTTACAAATGTGATATAATACTTTGGTAAATATACAAATTAGTAAAACCAAGCAGTTAAATGCTTTGATATATTTAAGATCAGGAGAAATGAACTATCATTATTTAATATCAACTTCAATTTTTAAATGCCAAGTTCCACTAAAAAGGGTAGGGCCTAGGGAACTTTAAATTATTATGATGACTAGAAACAAAGGAAACAATAAACTTATGGATGTTAAAATGCCTCAAAAAAGCCAACTTACGCAGCAGCTTCTTGTTTTGACAACCCTCTGATATTCTTCGCCAAATAATCATCTATGTCATCTTTGTCTTTGATCAAATGAATCCTAAATTTAAATAAAAAAAAAAATAAAAGAAACACTGCGAGGTGCTAACATAGACTTCTGCGGCATATATAATATATTAGCATTGCCAAGTAGAGCTAAAAACTGAAATATCGACAAAGTAATATATCAGACATTCTATAAACATATACAAATATTTTTTTTAATTTTTGGTCTGTAGCTATTTCAAGTCTTTATTTCTGAAAGAAAACAGAGCTGGTATTAGTTTTCAAGGACCTAGTTATCTGATATTTCTATTTAAACTAGAAGAAATTGTGTATCACCTAAATTAATAATTGCTTAAGCTATCCATATTTAATCTGTTTTCTAAACCAGAACCACTACATTTTTGCATTATCAGTATGGAGTGGCCAATCTATTTTGTATTTAAGTTTTTCAAAATTAAACCCAAGAAAATCAACAAAAAAAAATCCCAGCCCCAGCCCAAAATGCTTTCCTTAGAGCAATGCAGATTTCTAATACTGCTCTCAGCTTTCCACAGTTTGAGCAGCATATGGCAAAAGGTGGTCCACTAAAGGGGTAAGCCAAAGAGCATTAGAATAAAGAGCAAATTTCAGGATGCATAATCCAATTTTTAAATTTGAACTGTATATTATTTCACTTTTCACTTGAGCCATCATCTTTTTGCATTTCCACTCTGATACACGAGAGGCCTTGAATTTTAAAGAATAATATGTACTTACTGACCATAAGGTGTATTTAAATAGGTTCTGATATCCCAACTGTAGAGGGCATTATCTTGATAAAAGTAATGTGAATTTATTTTTATTCCTCTTTAAAAGGGCATAAAGATTGTCTGGTTAATCACTCAAAGATAAAAGAAATTCAACATTAGTGTTCCACATAAATCCATTACTTTCCTCTTTCTCTGTCTGTATTACACTGTTGTCTTTCATTACAGGGATGAGAGTAAATTCTTTTCATAATATTAGCTAATATAAGAATCATGCTCCTTATTGCTCTGAGAATACCAAAGACACTTCATGAAGTTCATTTAAATGAAAACAAAATAGCTAAGGAATGTAGAGATATTTTGACATGTCTGTGTTTAAAACAATGTAATAGTGAAAGAAAGCTTCCGACACAAATATGGCATTTATTCCAGAATTTACTCCTACGGAGCTGCACCAACAGAGGCTTATGCTTGCAAGCTGCACATAACACAGTCCACGTGAGTTGCTACTGACCATGAAAAATGTACAACTTACGGATATTGTCACAAAAATTTGGTTATAACCAATACTAAAATTTAATCAGTATCAAAAATTTCACACCAAAATAGTGACAATTTAATGTCATTAGGCTAATGAAGATAAGGTAATGATTCTATATTTTAAACTGATGTAAAACATATTTCAAGGTACAATAGGTTTATATGAGGCAATAGAAAAATTGAAAACTAGTATCTCTGGGTAATTAAATATATTCAGTAGACAACACAAAAACCCCTGGCTGACCTTTGTATTCGAAGACTGCAAAAATGAGCTTTCTGCACATCAGTAGCACAAGGGAACACAGCAGCTATGGGGGGGACGGGGTGGAGGGGAGTGCAAACCTCCAAACTGAAACAGTTGACTACAATGGCAAGCATCACTATCAGCTTGCTGCAATTTAATCTACACTGCAGTTAAAAATCATCTCAAACTGGAACACGGGAAAGCCTGATGCCTTCTCATTATCTTCTCAAAGGTATTTTAATAAAAATCCATCAGGGGAAAAGCCCCTAGAATCACTGCAATTTAAAATGTCATCTGCCTTATAGTCAAGGTATAAATTTCTGAGTTCTGTTTGGTAACACCCTCTAACTTAAAGACAACTACAGACAAGGGGGAAAAAAAAAAAAAGCAACATTTTGCAAACCAATTACTGTTTACATAAGTTCTGCCTTGAACTGATGAAACTACAAATATGGTGACACATCATGAAGAATTTAAGTTACTAAAAATAATAAATACTTATCTCCTGGCTGTTATTATCAATGATGTTAATGGAGCAATAACAAAGAAAAGACAGGCAGATGATACATAGGAAAAAATACACAGTAGAAAATTCCATTAACTCAATTATTATTTAAAATGGCTTGTTATATGCAACGAGAATTAAAAACAATAGATGTAATTAATGTGAAGAACTGAGACTGTGGCTTGGAATGGATATTGTTTTGTAATAGAGAAATGAGGGGAGGATGGCGCTGGCTAAGACAATGTTTCTTTTCTTTCAGAAATTGTCACTTGCTTTTTCCAAACTGTTTTAGCCTTATTTCTCCAGTGTTTCCATGATGACTCACCATATTTCATAAATAGTTCATAAAAAATCTACTTCACCTGTAAATTGGCTTGTATTTAATTTTAAATCACTCACTTATTAAAGACAAATATATTTTAATCCAATAGACACCTATTCCAGAGTTAACATTTTACACCATGCATTTCTATAACTACTCCTTACGAGTCTATACAGCAAAAATATAGCTACTTATTATTTTTAGAAATAAACTTCACGATAAGTACACCTGACTTTTTAAATAAAGAACAGAAAAAAATTCCCATAAAGGACCAAACTGATGCTCACATTAACTTTCTATCCTCACTGCCTATTCTGTTAACTCAGACTCCAGTTTTCTCAACATTTCCTATCAAAGAAAACAGAACTTGTCTTGCTTTAATCACTAGGCATCTAACAGCATGGTCTAAACCATTACTTTGGTGCTGCAAATAGGCACAACTTCTATAAGACTGCTGCAGAATGATCTTGAACATGAAACTCCCTAAGTAAAGGGAAGAAACAAGCCTACCTCTGGGGTGAGTTCTTTGGCAATGTAGATATTGGGAAAAGTGATGGCTGCAGAACATGGCTTTGGCCATAAAAGATTTTTAAAAATATATAAAATTGTAAGACATTGCTGTATGTCCTTATTCTATCAATGTGTGAGAGGACATCTATCAGCATGAGCCCCTCAGAAAGACTTGGCCCAAAGATACCATGTTTCTAGATCCTTACTGCTTTTAGACACAGACATGGAGCTGCTGAATTCTGAGATGCCAAAGGCTAAGGGGAATGAATGAAGGATTGCAGAGAAGAGGAAAAAAAAAAAGGAGGAAGAAGAAAACAACCTCATTTTTTTTCTGAAATGCAGGTGATTCCAGGAAAAAGAGCACAGTGGGGCAGAGTAGAAACTTGAACCACCAGTACACACTGAGGGAAACAAAAATATATGGGTACAAGTAACTAAGAGGCAACAGAACGGAAAGCCATGTAGGTGTGTGCAAGATGATGGCTTGAAAGTATTATGGCATTGTTCTTAACTCAGTTATTAAGTACAGGATAATGTTTTTCAAGCCAGTTTTATTCATTATATTTTGAGAGATGCAAAACTGTTTTGTGCCTGAATGAAAAAACAAATCTTCTTTTTTCATCCAAATAAGCAGATTTTCAATGACCTACATTCATATCAGTGTTAAATGGAAATAACTTGCTATGGCTTTTGAAGTGGTTTTGAAAAATCAGAATGAAATCTCTACTTTAAACAGAACAGATTTTCTATTTTGTTTTTCTTCCATTTTAATCATAAACTTTCCTAAGAAAGAATTTTCTTGCCTCTGATTTTTGCAGTTTTAAATATTGAAAAAAAACCCAAACATAATCTGTCACCTCGCCATAACTGATTGAAGCTGTTCACAGTAAAAAATAATACTCTGAAAGAAAAGAGGTACATACCTTGCAAAGTCTAATGAGGAGCAAAAAGTCTGCTCTATGAACCTGGGATGCTCCCCAGAGGCTTGTAGGATTGCTTGAGGCAACACATTCATTTTAACTAAAACAAACAAAAAAACCCAAAGTTACTTGAAACAGTGCCTTCACAGTGATGCAGTTTCTTATTCTTCTTGTGCTGCTTTCCAGTCAACTCTCTTTTACTTCCAGTGCGTTATGTGTAAAACCGAACTCCCACACAAATGGGGAGGCCTCAGCATTACTTGAGTAGGCCATAATGCATAGGAATGGTCATGATCTTGCTTTCAATAGTTTTCTCTCTTTCATTGGAGTGCTTTCGATTTGCATAGGGATAACTGATTCAGGAATCTAACTTGCATGTGATTCCCTGTGCTTCTTCAAGTCATCTCGGTCCAAGTATTAACAATATTTTAAGTTAAAACAGAAGGTGGAGAAATGATTGAACGTGCAGTGTGCAATGCAACAACAAGCACTGTATTAACATTCAAAATAATACATAATCGTAATAGTAACAATCATTTCAATAAAAAATGTAGGCAATGCTATACTTACAACACAGGGTTTTACTTAAAACAAAAGCCAAAAGCCCCACAGTTATGTAGAATCGTATAGCTCGTCATTTTGAAGTACATAAATGATAATAGGACTTTTTTGTCATATAGAGTTACTGTGTTTTTTTCCCCAAGTATTCAGACTACACTTCCTACCATTAAAGTTTCAGCTGCCAGTTCCTTCATTTTGCATGTCTGTGATCTGAGGACGTTAGCAGCAGGAGCACCCTCACTTTTAAATTTGGTTTAATGTAGGTATTGCATGCCCTGCTGGTAGGCCTCAAGGCACAAACTTTTAATAGGGACAGGAAAACAGGAGGGGGGGGGAGGGGAAGAATTTAACTATTTGTTACATTTAGTGAAAGGACATTTATTTTATGGGAAATAAATGTTAGTTATTAATCAACTTGATACTGAATGATCAGCACAAGACTAGCAGATATTTTATATATTAGCCTTCCTGTGATCAAAAACCGTTTCATTGATGTAATATTTTGCTACAGTTACAGCGAAGTAATTTTTTTGGTGTTACTTAGAATAGAATAACAAAGACAAATATAGTTTTAAAAGATGACAGAATATGATATTTCCTCTAAGTCATTCTTTTAAGGATTAGTACTAATGATAACATTTGTTACAGAAAGAAAAAAAAAAAAAAACAACAAACTAATCTACAATCAGAGGCAGCAACATTTTACACAAGTGTGTCATGGAAAAAAAATCAATAGAAAAAAACATGGGTAATTCATCACTAAAAAAAATTATAAAACTTATAGAAAATGACAGGTTGGTATCCAGAAGCAATATAAAAAGTAAAATCTCTTTTTAGGAAGTTACCATTCAGGGAGAAATACTAACTAAACTTTGGAACAACAATATTGAAGTCCAGAGAAGATGCAAAGCTCTCTACAAGCCTCTTAGTCTTGAGGCATTAGGTGAGAAACAGCAAACAGACCATGTCTTAATGGCAGGTGTTGAATGGGGCAAGGCAGGAGGGCTGACCATCTGCAGCTATAAGACAGAAAAGGCAGGGCTAAGCAGCTAAAAGGAGACTCTGAGAGCCCTGGTAGAGCCACTGCAACCATGAAAAGCTATCGATGGGTAGGTGTACTTTTGGTGTGTCACAGATCTCAGGCACATGAATCCTGGCTGAAGCATACAATAGCTCCTCACTGGCTCACATGCTCCAGGTTCCCACCTGACAGAAATCAAGTATATGATGAGACAGTCTGGCATACACACAGGTCTCACACTAAAATGAGACACATATGCAAACATTTTTATGAGTCCATTACTGCCTCACAAGGATTAAAACTATTGCCTTGAGTTTTATTTCAAACTCAAAGTTTGGGAATGAAAAAAAAAATCTGCTTCATAATACTGTCAAATTAATTTTTATTTTAGAGCTGGGAGGTTAGTTTCACAGTGAAATGGATGGTGGTTTTCCCTCATTTCCAAGGTAACTGTAATTCTTACAGGTAAATTGCAATCAGACACAGGACAGGTGTCAGCAACACATCCTTCTGAAATGCATGCTATTACATTCACATAAATTTCATTGCTGATCATTTAAAGAATGCTAACCCCTTTACATCTTACTGCTTTATTTATAAGGCCCAAAACACCCACAGAATTCAGCCAAAGACAAGGCAGTGGAGTTTGTTTCTAAGGAAATGCTATATCTAATCCCATGATCAAGGGAATCTCTCCACAGGCTGGAATCACTCCAACCTGCATGCAAGCTAAAGGTAAAACGCCAACTGACTGCAATGGCTTTTCCTGGCATGTTTTAGGAAACCTGTTTGCTGTCACTCAGACGTCCACATGCATTTTTCTGGACATGCATAAACCTAACTGGAGTCTGAGGATTTTCCAGAAAGAGAACCAGCCTGAGGTACAGGCATGGCTACATCCAGTTACTTTTGAGGATGTATTTGCTGCTACCTGCCACCTCATAAAATAAAAGGACGTCAGAGTGTGACAGGACAGACTTAGAGCCATGCTGCTTTATTGCGTTGGAAGTGCTGATACGACTGATTAAAAACCCAATTAATTTTAAAAATCTATAGCCAGCGTGATAAACGTAATTTGTTCCAGGTAACCTGGATGAGGTCACAGCCCCGACCAGGGCGTGGTTCTGCAGCGCTCGACCCATATTCTGAACCTCCTCTGGCCTTGTGGCTGTCCAGCCCCGGTTGCGGAAAGCCAGCCACCCTTCACGAATCACCGCCAGGAATGCTTTTTGTTTTCCTTCACCTGTTAACCACCCCCATACACTACATACCCCCAACCCTTGGCTCCGATACTGTCTCAGCCTGTTAAAAAAAAAGAAAGAAAAGAAAAAAAAAAAAAAAAAAAGGTT